TGTATCATCAAAAGATAATGTAAAATATTTTAAAACTATTGATATTAAGAAAACTGCAGATCTGTGGGGGATTTCCGTTAATGTTATTGCGTCTATAATAGATACAATCGCGCCTCATCAAGCTATTATTTTTAATACTAGTATCGAATCTGGTGTGTTTCCTGATTTAATGAAGCATAGTAAAGTAATACCTTTATTTAAATCTGGTAGTAAGTTAGACCCCGCCAATTTTAGACCTATTTCTGTACTACTAACACTTAGTAAGATTTTTGAAAAAAATATACTTGATCAAATGTTAAATTTCTTTAATATAAATAATTTACTTCATAAAAATCAATTTGGTTTCACAAAAGGGTCGCTCGACAACTGATGCCGGTGTTGAGCTGATTAAATATATCTTTAATGCATGGGAGAATTTGGGTAAATATTTCATATTTAAGTAATAGAACGCAAAAAGTTGTCATTAACAGTATGAGCTCTTCCGGGTCGATGGTACAAATGGGCGTGCCTCACAGCTCAATTCTCGGCCCCTTTCTGTTTCTTGTATACATTAATGACTTACCTTACATAGTACGAGATAACCATGATATAGTATTATTTGCTAATGACACTTTTTTAATTTTCAAATTAAGACGACAATTACTAAAATACGACGAAGTAAATAATGCTATATCTAAATTAGTAAATTAGTTCAATGTTAATAATTTGCAGTGTCATTTAAACACTAAAACGAAATGTATGAAATTCATGACTCCAATTAAATACTAATGTAATTTTGAATGGGGTGGGAGGGGGGGGGGGGACTGAGTCTTGTCGATACCACCATTTTTCTTGGAATCACACTAGACGCGAAGCTTCAATGGAGCCCCCATATATCAAAATTACCAGTGTTGAAAGAGCTGGTAAATGAAGCGCCGTTTACGCGCGCACTCCGTATCCTCAACCGTATAGCAGAAGACATTGATCTATTTTGTTGTACTCTGGATGGGTTCATAGCGAGAGTTCTCTTGGAAATAAGTTATGGTCCTACTGTGATATAAATATGGTGTTTGTTATAGAAATAAGTACATATGATCTATATAATAGTTGTGTAATTGTAATTATGTTTTGTAAAAAAAAATAGTTGTCTACATTATCGCATTAGGTGATAAACCTGTAATGATAATTGTATAGTTGGAAATAAATAAATAAATAAGCTAGACTAGTTTACTTTAGCTATTTTCATAGCATAATGTCGTATGGTATTTTGCTATGGGGACACGCAGCTGACACTGAAATTATATTTGTTTTACAGAAGAGGACCGTAAGAGCAATTCATAATTTAAAGCCTAGAGTCGCTGCGACAAAAATTTAAGGAAATTAATATATTAACTTTGGCCTCTCAATACATTTATGAAAATGTAATGTACGTACACAAAAATAAAAGTAGTTTTACAAAAATAAGTGATATTCATTCTGTAAAAACTAGGATCAGACACAAGCTATAGTAGTACCAGTTACTCGACTTCACCATGTCAGAAATTCATTCTTGGGGCGATGTATACGCTTTTACAATAAAATCCCGAAAAATATACAAAATTGAACTTGCTCAAAGTTCAAAAACTTTATTAAACAAAATTTGGATAAAAAGGGGTTATTATAATATTAAGGAATTTATGGATGATAATAACCCAAGTGATCGCTACCAAGGTATTTCTAATTAGTTGTGTTGTTAATTGTGTAACATACATGATTGTAAGCTGTTTTTTTTTTTTAAAAAAGTCCCGCTGGGTTTCTTGCCGGTTCTTCCCAGGACAGAGGTTTTTTTCGAACCAGTGGTGTAAATTAAACAAAAGAGTGATAATAAGTATTATATATAATCTATATTGAATAAAAAAGTGTCTGTTTCTGTTAACTTTTTTAATCGCTAGGCTAGGCGAGCGACGGCGAACAATGCTGAGTCCTACCTTATGTTGGTACTCGCCTTCACTCGGCGAGCTATTTTACATGATAGCCGGCTTTAGATTTTTTTATACTTAGTTCTTCTTCTTCAGCAGCCCGCAAAACTCTACTGCTAAATAAGTTTGGGTCGCTCTTATTGGGACCACGCTTGGATCACGCTGGCTGGCGAATTAGTGAACGCAGACACTGTCCCCAGGCCGTGTAAAGACCATTTGGCAAAGCACTTTTTGCAAATCAAAAAAGCTACGCCAACATATTACGTATGTATCACGTTAATGGCGAATAAATGCGCATAAAATGCGAAACTAAACGAAAGTTATGCGCTAAGGCTAGGCGTAACAAATGTAAATATGTCAAGAACATTAAGATTAAAGAGTGAGTAGATGGATAAAAATGTTGCCTGCTACGGTATGGACTTCTGTTACAGTTAACCTAATGGTAAAAGCCTTAGAAAGTGTTTCTCGGAGTGTGCTGCGTCTAGCCCCGGTTAATATTCTTCATTAGGGTTGCGACCCGTACATAAATATAGTATCGTACTATATTTCTGTCAATTGTACTATATATTATAGAAAAATAATATAGTACGAAAAATACTTGATTTTTATCCCTAATTCAACTATCGCGCTTTTTTATATTAACTGTGACTGGAATTCTGGAACAAGTAAGTTCTACGGAAAGATTATTTTCCGTTATGAATGTAAAATTGAAAGAAGCAAGAAATAGAGAATTTAATTAAAAATGAATTGTTAATTTATTTTAATATGAATCTAAATTGCTCAGATTAAGGTAATACATGCCGCGGGTTCGAATCACGTACGGAACAAGTATTTGTATAGCCTACAAATAATTGATCTGGGTTTGGATGTTTGTCCTTCTGCAATTTATGTATGTACCCTCACGATAAAGGAGAAAATCTTAGGGTAGTAAGTAATAGGTTTTTTTTTAAAGTAAAATAATTATTATTCATAATTTGCCTTTGCAAAGCACTTTTAAAAATCTGTAAAGCTACTCAAACTCAATCAAAAATATGTTATGGAATAAACATAACGTAGTTGTGGAGTGATTTCCACCGTCACACGATTCCCAGGATTGTACTACATATACCTTCCAAAACAAGACCTCTCTCTGCCCATACGATTAATATTCTTGTGTTAACGTATTATTCATTCCCCATGCGTCTCGCTTGCAAATACATACTCGTACATTGTTACTCGACACATCCACTTGTTGCGTACAAAGTAAAATTATAAAATAACGTTATTCTGATTTAGGAGTCTGTTTGTAAATACAATAATATCACGTGTGAAGGAAACAGGTGCAGGAATGAATGAATGCTGCAGCTATATTAATAGTATAGTTGTAGCACGAATGGGTCGGCTCGACCGGGGAAGGACCACGCTCTCACAGAATACCAGCGTAAAATAGTAGCTTAACACTGCTGTGTTTCGTATGATGAGTGTAGAGAACCGGAGACTCTTTTTACTGGAAACGAGGCATTTTATCTTAGTCCTCACTGCTCACAACGCATCTTCATTTTAATTCCCAAATGTAGAGATGTAGATGTCTATGGGCCACAGCAACCACTTACCATCAGGTGGACTGTGTGCTCGCCGACGCTCTTGTATATGTATATGATGAAATATTTTCGCCTGTGTTTAGAACAAAAAACGAAAGCTATAATATTTAATTTGCCGTTCTCCACAAAATACCGGTGGGACAAGTCTTGTAAATAAATATCTCCTCCTTTTCTCTCTCTTACTTCTGTTAATGTTGAAGGAGGAGGTTTTCAATTTGATTGGTTGTATGTTCTTTTTTTGTATGTATGTTTAAGAGATCAAGAGGCAGCAGTATCTTCCTTATACGTATAACAACTCAAAATTATAAATTGTAATATTAAATGTATGGGGAAGACCAATGTTAGGGATGGATGGATCCATTGATGTTAAGAGATATTTTAGTAAGTTGTGACCCGGTTTTAATAATTATTTTTAACCCTTGACAAAAAAGATGAGTGCTAAAAGTTTAACGTCGTGTATATCTGTGTATCTGTATGTCTATCTGTGGCATCGTAGCGCCCGAACGGATGAACCGATTTAGATTTAGTTTGTTTTGTTTGAAAGGTGACTTTATCGAGGGTGTTCTACGGTCTGAAGCGTATAGGGAGCCTGGCTGTGGCCTACAGCCTGTGGGGCATTTCATATTTTTTTTGTAGGATAATGGTGACAAACGAGCACACAATCCACATGATGGTAAGTGGTCGCTGCGGCCCATAGACATCTACATCTATCCTCGATTACGAATCCAAATGCAGATGCGTGTTGTCACCCGTGAGGACTAAGATGGAATACCTCCTTTCCAGTAAAAATGGTCTCAGGTTCTATACACTTACCAACACAGCAGCGTTAAGCTGCTATTTTAAGCCGCGTATCCACCAAAAATGTTGACAAACAGTTGTGTTTCCAAATGTTTACAACTGTTTCCAACAAGCCTCTCCACCGAGGGAACAAATGTTTGCAACAAGCGTATTCCTTTGATGTTGCCGCCGAAAATGGAAACACGGTTCCCGACATTGTTTCAAGTTTTGTTACCAACTGTTGTGTTGACAACAAAACTTTGGTGGAGACGCGGCTTTACGCTGGTATTCTGTGAGAGCGTGGTCCTTCCCCGGTCGAGCCGACCCATTCGTGCTACAACTATACTACTAATATAGCTGCAGCATGGCTCTACCACGTACAAAATCTTAGTCTTACTTACCATCAAAAATATATATTTTTACACGACTGCCCCAGAAGAAGGGTAATGTTTTTCGTGTGTATGCCTATTTGTTTGGTACTCTAACATATAACACTAAATATAATATATAACATAGGATATAAAACTTTTCTCTTTTCAGTAAACTTTTTTACGCAGTCGGGTTTTTTAATTACTGTTTTAACCTTTGTACTTGTTATGTTAATCTTCTCTTTGTGTACCATAAAGAGTACTTAATTATGTTTTAGTGATTGTTTGGTTGTTTAACGGACTCATAGATTCACTGTATGCCCTCCGCACTGTTGCAGTCGCAATGCTCGTCCCAGGAACGGCTGCTGGCGGTGCAGGCGGTGTGCGAGCCGCCGCGCGCGCCCTGCCCTCATTGCCACCAGCACCAGAACTCGCTCAAGTAAGTTGCCACGCTATGCCACATATTCATCATTATCACCATCATCATATCTTGCCGGGTATCTATCTATCTTTCTATATAACGGAATATTTTAATGTAACTTTCATCAACTAGTGAATTGACTTCAAAATTTTCACTCGTATCAAGGACCGATGACAATACAATAATTTAATAACTTTATTCTAATATCCAGATCAGGATCACCAGGATAAAATAAAATATTTTTTATTGGCTTGAACTGTAATGTAAATGTATAAATGTAATAGAATTTTGTAATTCAAGTTTCACCTACTTCTCGATGTACATAATTTTTATGCCGGATATCGACCTTATACCATTACCATTGTTGTTTAGTCGTTACAAATTTATTCAGAAGGAAGATTCCCGATCAAAATACGGAAGGCCGTTAAGCCCCGTTGGAGGTCGAGTCGAATTGCGAACGGAAGCGATAATGCGTCAATTATTCTTAATTTATTGGAGGAGATGCAAATTTATTGAACTCTTCCGATATACTTTGATTTGTGTAATATTTTAAATTAACTGAAATTAGAACATCAACTCTATTTACAACATAATTTTTTTAGTCCCACTAAAAGGCCCAGGTTTCGTCAAGAACTTTTAGTTTACTGTCTAGAGTGACGCTGTGCCCTAAAACATGGCGCGCGTGGCACCAATGGGTCGTCTAGAAGAAAGACCGGGGAAAGACCGCTCTGGCCCGTACAGAATACTAGTGTGAAATATCAGCATAATATTGCTGTGTTTCGTATGGTGACTGACGATAACCGAAGATACTTTTTACTTATAACATATCCTAAGGTTCGATAAAGTATCTGCATTTTGATTCTTAATTGAGGATAGATGTAGGTGTCTGTGGGCCACAGTAAATACTTCAGTAAAAACCATCAGGTGCAGTGTGTGCTCTTTTGTCAACGTTAATCCATTAAAAAATACTTAAATGTTTTACACGTAAAATCCAGTACACGTCGAAAAAGATGGCGGCGTGGGAGTATCCATCATCCCCCATCGTTAGAAAGGTGTCGTATGAGTCGATTAATATACCTAATACTCGGAAAATAATCATATTTGTTCATCTTTCTTTTCTCCTCCCGATAGATAGCGATATTACCACCTCATATTTGTATCATATCAGTGTAAGATAAGAAAACTGGCGGTGGAAAATAGTGTTAAAATTGGAAACATTTTGGATTAATGCACAATTAGTCAAACGCTGCTCAATTTTAAAATGTCGTTAAGTCTCCTGCTGTCTCTCTCACTTTAAGTCAAGGTGACTGTGACGCCACGAGAATTAACGGCCTCTTAAAATTTAGCAGTGTTTGAGTATTTGGGCATAAGGTTGTTAATACGTTTGCCAAGTGTCAATCGATGCAATGACAGCTAAAGCTCTGCCATGTTTAGAAGTATACTTTTATGTCAGAGAACAAAAACGGCTGACCCCTCCGTGGCGTATTTGTTCTTGTGAAATTTATGTATGTAAACGGCCTCCACGATGTAGGAGAAGTGTAGGGGTAACTTTAAAAATAGCCAATGCACAAAGAGAAATCTATTTCTTTAGTTTGGGTTTCTTTTGCCATTTCTTCTATGGTCAATAAAATTTATAAACGTATATATAATAACTGCTTTCCTCTAGTCAGAGAAACCTTACTATTACTTAATTAAAAAGAAAATAAGTTTGATAAAGGAATATGTAAGAAAACACATTTTATTGAATGACTCGTGTATTTTGATTGCAGCAGTTCCCAGGGCTCCGGCATGAACTGGGCGTCCCTGTCGGACAGCGGGGGCAGCGGGCACGCCCCGCGGGCGCCTTCACCTCGTCCCACACCGCGGCGAGTACGCAGTCGTAGTCTCAGGTACACTAAACGACACGGATATAGCTTCGTTTGCATAAGATTTTACGGATTTTATCGCGTATGTCATTTTATATCCCCGATGTTTCGATACTTTGCAGCACCCATGGTCCTCCTCGTGGTAGACCTCCCTTAAGTAATACCACAAAGCACGGCCCTAAGCCCATTTGCATTTATGGGCTTTCTGAATGTTAAAAATGTAATAGAACTTATTGAGGTCGTCACGCGACTGCACTGAGTATTTCTTTCAACTGTATTATAAAACATAAATAAGAAGAATTTCCCAAAACTTAAAAATGATTCTATTTTTATGTTATTGTTTAAGCCCAAACTTGGGCATTTGAAACGCCATCCAATCGCGTTTGACTGGGCGCATCGCCCGCTGGTGTGAGGTAACGTGCGCGCCGCCGGGGGGGGGGGGGGGGGGGGAATTGGGGCAGCGGTATGCCGCTTCCCGGCGTTCAGCCTCGTGGGCTAGTACCAGTAGCTTAACAGCCGCGGTGCGGTCGATTAGCGTATTTTGGTGACCGCTGCATCGATTTCGCGCGTCCAGTTTTTGAATATTGCACTTTGAACGACTGTTCGTTATTTGTGTCGGGTGTCACGTGTTTGATTTCGATGAACGTTGAATTGGTTGACCTTGAAGTCAATTATATGTACAATAAAGTTGATAGACTGAAATAGTGAAATGAAGGCAGAAATTTTCCATGGGTGATCCACGACCGGAGGGAGCGTGCATTGGGAGAACATCAGCTCCGGTGGATTTTCTGTCCGATTAAATCGGGCCGTCAGGTCACATATATAAACACTACTACACACCGCTTACATGCACCTACACCTACCTACCGCCTGACCGAGCCTTGGGGCAATCTTAGCTTCGGAACCAGGTACGTACTGTTTATTTACCTAGCCTTATACGAGAATCTATTGTGTAGAATAATAAGTCTCCATAGGCCGTAGGGCCCCACCGTTGTAGGGCCCCATAGTTGTCCGTCGATTGGATTACTGATGGGCCCTAGTCCAGTCAACCTTTGTTGGGGCAGCTAGGGGCGTGTACAGTTATGATAATTAGCATTATCGATAGAAACATATAAAGTACCGTTTTAATATTGTGTTGCCACGAAAGTTGGCGTTCAATATAAACGTTCCTGCCGACTATGCTAGCCTTTCCGGCCCCTGTACGTATATATCAGAATAAAAACGACTGATATACTCTGTTCATGGATGCTTCACGTGCAAATAAATATCAGTAGATTCGAAACAAGTTCAATCGTAAAATATCTTGGTGATTGAGCTTATTTTTATTTTTTATGCAGCACATTTGTAACCCGTATTTTTATTGTTTATCAGTTCTCCGTCGCGGTCGCCGGGCGGTGGTTCGGGCGGGGAAAGCGCGCGTGAAGATGCCGTGACGGCTATGTCGGCACTGTTCGCAGCCCGCTTCCCCGCTGCACAGAAGCACATGGATGACAGGTCAGCGCACATTATCACGTACACATACGCACAACCCACATACGCTCGCAAGTACGTACACGTGCACGCATATACGCATACGCACGTTAACGCACTTACACACCACACACGAACCACAAAATAAACGAAATCAAATGAAGTAACGGACTTTGTTCCGATAATTAAAAGCATCAAATGGTACTACTTTCTTCGAAAACCAGTTGACCACAACACATGAATACTAGTGGTTCTTGTGCATTCCTTGCTTTCCCTTTCCTCGGGAACTCATTTGCGAAATTTAAAGTCGTGTGTCACTTTCATATCTAACTTTTGATTGTCAGATTACGAGCCCTTATCGATGAGTTGACGGAATTGGACAAGAAGCCTGATCGGCCGCCCATCGAAAGATTTGTACAAAGACAGGTGAGATGGTCTTTACAATATAAAACAATGGACTCGTTATAGACTAATGATAATGATTTTAAGCGACTACAAAAAAGAAGGCGGTTTCGAATTTTGTAATAACTTTGACCTTGGATAACCGATTTTGCACATTTTTGACGTCAAAGTAAAATTTTTCAGTGTTGCCGTATGAATATCAACAATCTGATGAGCTAATAATTTGGAAGTCACTTATTATTTTTAAATTATCCAATTGTTTACAGGTGTTGGAAATGGCACGCGACTGTCTGCACAAGTCCGAGTCGAAGCAAGTGACCAGCAGTTACTTCTATGACATGGCGGATAGCTTGGACAGGCTACTCGCAGAGGTGAGTTCACTTACTTATATTTCGTCTATACATCTAGACTACATATTTTATTATTTTTAAAACTGAAGTGTCAGTCGGTAATATAGAAATAACTGGCTTGTTAGGGAGTTCTTTTGCATGATATAAAAACAACCATTTTCTGCCCACTTCAAAGAGGAGACGCTACTCAATTCGACTGTATGTTTTTTATGTGTTTTACCTCATAACTTTTACTGGGTGAACAGATTCTTTTTTTTATTTGAAATCTGGTACTTCACATGTGGTCCTATATGAATTTGATCAAGTCTGACCAATAGTTTTTGAATTATTCTTAATGATTTATATTGAAGTCGGTTGTACAAAATTTTTAGTTTTTGATAATGTCTATCAGTCTGGGTTTATCTTTGATTATGGCTCAACCTATTGTGGTGAAACTTCATGAACAGAGAAAGTGTAATAGCGGGAGTGATCAACACCATATTTTATTCGAAAAATGCTTTTTGTTAAATCAATAAACTACGGACAAAATAAATGTTTTAGTCAATAAATGAAAAAAAAAATATGCTTGAACAACCGCAGTGGGTTATACTCTTGTTTTGTTGTTTAATTTAATAGTTTGAAGTAGATTTTTGTATTAAATGTCTGCGTATGTGACCTATTATTGGAAACATTGTAACAAGTGATTTGATTTTAATATAAATCTCAGGCTTTTATTTCGCTTATGAGATGTGAGATATTATTGTCATCAACTATCCACTGAGTTAAGCTACTGTCAAAATCTTTTAAGAACTTGTACGCAAACGCAATGTATTACAATAGCATATTGTTAAGAATTTCATAAGCAAATTACCACTTCCACTTCAAATCAGACTAGGCTGTATGGTGTAAGACCTTTGCCTGCATTAATTAGCGAATCGTAATACTCTTGTTTTGTTGTTTAATTTAATAGTTTGAAGTAGATTTTTGTATTAAATGTCTGCGTATGTGACCTATTATTGGAAACATTGTAACAAGTGATTTGATTTTAATATAAATCTCAGGCTTTTATTTCGCTTATGAGATGTGAGATATTATTGTCATCAACTATCCACTGAGTTAAGCTACTGTCAAAATCTTTTAAGAACTTGTACGCAAACGCAATGTATTACAATAGCATATTGTTAAGAATTTCATAAGCAAATTACCACTTCCACTTCAAATCAGACTAGGCTGTATGGTGTAAGACCTTTGCCTGCATTAATTAGCGAATCGTAATACTCTTGTTTTGTTGTTTAATTTAATAGTTTGAAGTAGATTTTTGTATTAAATGTCTGCGTATGTGACCTATTATTGGAAACATTGTAACAAGTGATTTGATTTTAATATAAATCTCAGGCTTTTATTTCGCTTATGAGATGTGAGATATTATTGTCATCAACTATCCACTGAGTTAAGCTACTGTCAAAATCTTTTAAGAACTTGTACGCAAACGCAATGTATTACAATAGCATATTGTTAAGAATTTCATAAGCAAATTACCACTTCCACTTCAAATCAGACTAGGCTGTATGGTGTAAGACCTTTGCCTGCATTAATTAGCGAATCGTAATAACAAATGTAAGCGTGGCGTTGCAGACGCGCGAGAAGTCTGCGGAGGCGGGCGCGCAGGTGGCGCCGCTGGTGACGCGGCTGGTGCTGGCCATGGCGCGGCCGGCGCGCCTGCTCGAGTGCCTCGAGTTCGACCCCGAGCGCTTCTACCGCCTGCTCGAGGCGGCCGAGGGACACGCGCGACAGGCACAGGTACGTACTGTTACGCTTCGTCTGCTCTGTATTTAGATATTATTTTTTTTTTTATAAAACTGAAGTGACAAACAAACAAAAGTCTGAGGACTAAGATGAAATGTCACAGTTTGATTTATACTGGCTTTCGAAATTTGGGCGGTGCTACAGTCCCTTCAGCGGTGCCAAGACTGCGATAACTGTCGGTATATCGAAATGCTGAAGTGTTTGTACAATAGAGCTACGAGGGTTATCCGATTACAAAATCAGAGTATGAAACCTATCTAACTGCAGTAAGGTGTAAGACAGGGTGATGTTCTATCCTTGAAAGTCTTCACTGCTGCATTGAAAGGCGTTTTCAAGCCACTGGACTCGAAAGGATACGGTATTAACATCACTCGAGTACATCACTCACCTTCGATTTGCCGATGATATAGTCCTTATGGTAGAATCGCTGGAGGACCTAAGAACTATGCTCAATGATCTCAATAGTGCCTCCCAACGGATAGGTTTTAAGATGAACATGGACAAAACAAAGATCGTGTTTAATGTCCATGTCATTCCAATATAGTTACAGATTTTGTTATTCATACATCATATATGGTAAGATAATATATAATATCATAGAATGCATAGTATTAATAATAAGGTTAATATTTTAATACTTAGTTTTATATATATATATAATTCTTCTGTACGTGTGTTTGTCAATGAACTTTTCCTAAACGACTAGACTAGATTTTGATGAAGTTTTTCTTTTTTGTATTTGAGTGAATGGTTCAGGTTCACAATTGAACCTACGAGTAGTAGGTAGTTCTGTTATCAAGATCGACAAATTGCCCGTGCGAAGTCTGGATGGATCGCTATAATGATAAAAGAAAAACAGTGACCCTGTATATTTGTAGTCGTATTTAAGGAACTTATTGAGTATGTAAAACGTTGGTATGTAGTAACGAGTGAGTTGTGTGGCAGGGCATCACGAGCGACATCCCGCAGTACATCATTCACAAGCTGGGGCTGTCGCGCGACCCGCTCGCCGAGCTGCAGGCGCCGCCGCCACCGCCCATCAACTCCTCGCCTTCCAAGTAAACTCGCATTTATAATATTATTACAAACAGTAAATACTAATATCATAGTCTAAAAATCCAAAAGTCGTGTGGGTTGAGATCAATATTATCGTTGTGTTTATGATAGGACATTGTAGTTGCCTGCGTTCCCCATTTTGTTTATGTTAGTACAAGTTAATAAGACCATGAATTCATGTATTGGCAAACTGTCTTCTTTTACATTTTTTTAAATATTATTTTAAGCGAGCACTTAATTACAATCCCACCTGATTGTAATTGGCGATGAAGCCTAAGACGGTAAAGCGCAGTGACTTAACAAAAAGCCTATTCACTCTTGACATCCACATTTTAATCGGATGGAAAGACAGACGCTGGCACTTATTCCACTTCTTTGCTGTACGCATGATGAACGACGCAGCAAACCGTTTGGTTCGAATGTGTGGTAATTCAACAACGAAAGGGTGGAGACTGGCCGAACGGCTGGTTGTCCAATGGACGAAGGGAGAGGGAGGAATTAAATTATGCAATTCCTGCGCACACTCTCCTCAATTCATCGTGTAGAAAACCGAAATGTTGGCTACTTTGCGCCTGTGTGCTGGTAAGATTGGTAAGAGAAGAAGAGACACGCTTGTGTTTTGGAGGCGTTGAATTTCACAAGATTGGCATCGCCCCATTCGGAGACTGCCTGTAGTGTGAGATTCACACGCTCTACCATAGCTTTTCTTTCGGACTGGATTTGATCCCGACTGCTCTGCAGCAGTGGGTAGTCGCAGTGCGTGCAGTGGGGGTTGTGTTGCAGGGCGCGCGGCCGCCAGTCGCCGCCGGGCGCGCCGCCGGGCAGCGCGCCGTCGGAGAGCGACTACCACGTCATCAAGCTCATCTCCAACGGGGCCTACGGCGCCGTGTACCTCGTCAAGCACAAGCTCACTCGCCAAAGGTGAGGACACCACTCTGTGGCTATTCGAACTTAAAAAAAAACTTTTTGTCTATTGCTAACTACTTTTGTTAAATTCATTAATCGTCAACATCATTACACCCTCCACAAGTCCATTGCGAAACATAGGCCTCCTTCAAAGAATACCACAAAGCACGGCCCTAAGCCACATGCATCCATCGACTTCCTGCATGCCTTACCAGGTCGCCATATAACTCGAAAAACCGTCAACCGATGGGAAAGTTCACCAAAAGACAAAATAATTATTGGCCAAATATTACAACGCTACTCAATTATAAAATGTCTTTAAGTATCGTGGTGTCACAGTCACTTGTGACTTAAAGTGATAGAGACTGCACGAGACTTAACGGCACCTCAAAATTAAGCAACGTTTAAGTATTTGGGCATAAAAGATATTAGTTCTTAAAGAAATCTACGTGTTTTTTTTTTATTGAAGTAATATGTACTTACATACTGCTGCTGTTCTAAGCTATTCTAAGCTATTTCAAACAAAAAAATTGCGCTACTCATAACTTCGCACATGCGCATGGGAGAGTAGAGTGGCGCATACGCAGTTGGTTTTTGTCATAGAATATACGTAGGTAGAACGATCAGTGTGTAATAATAGTTTGTTTTTAAAGTGCGGCGACATCGCTGAAATTAAATGGGACATCGCAATTAAATGGGACATCGTAACTAAATGCAGTGTCGCCTCTAGTACGTACTACATAATAGCTCGAAGGGTTATTTTAGCTGTCGTAAATAAAAGTGACTTTTATTATCACGTTTTTATTAACTCGCATTCGTGTTGATTTGTCTACATCTGTATATCTTATTTTTATATATCTATATACGAAAAATCTAATATAACTTAAAATAGAAAATCAACCAAACTTCAAGTCACAACTAAATGTAGCAACGATTATCCATGGTCTATGTGTTGAGGGTCAATCCTGGCTCAATAATGCTGGCTCAATCCTAATCAACACCTGTGCAAATACCCAAAGTGTTGGTTATTTTGTGCTACCTATTAAAATTGACTGAGTGGGGTTTCAAATCTATGAACTGCTCTCTTGGTACATTGTGGTCTGCTAAAAATTCGATTATTTTCAGGTACGCTATGAAAAAGATAAGTAAAAACAATCTCATACTGAGGAACCAAGTGGAGCAGGCCTTCGCGGAAAGGGACATCCTCAGTTTCGCTGACAATCCATTTGTGGTAAGTGTATTGTATGTGCCTTTATTAAGTGTTTTAAATTTAGTCCGGCGTCATTTTATTAATAAGAGCGATGTCTAGATAGCCTTACGGATCATTATACATGGCCTCATTTTCAGTATAAAAATAATAATACGTCACTAACAGTCATAGCTAGACAGTGGTCTCTACCATAGTCGCGCTAATTTACCATAATTGCCACATTTGGCGCACAAGAGTAAAGAAACCGTACAGGCAAAGCTTCATACAACTGCGCTATGATAGGTACACTACCAGATGTGTAATAAATACTAATAGTGAGTCAACTCGGCGACTAGACGGAGCAACGATGGGGCGCGGTACGAAGGAGAGCGGAGTCCCCCCCCCCCCAGTCCCTACCCTCTCCTTGCCAGCGACGTCTGTCGGTCGTAACGGTGGGTTTCGCTGGCGTACCGGTACGCCCGTTTAGGAATGTCACGTACACGGAATCAGTTGCATGCGTATCAAACGCGTTCACCCAACAACACATTACTCGGTATTATCACAGAATAAATAATAATACAAGAACGGAAGGATCACTCTCTGATAACAAACTTGCGAGTTTAAACTTAGTTACAACGTCGTTAATGTTCATAATACTTTGCATGCCTCGGAAGTGACCTTCTTGAAATTAGCCTACCGTTTATATCGTCGAAAAAAATATTATGCGGCGCGCGTATTAAACTAAAATGCACCTAATCTCCGCGTGCGAGTGTCTGTATCACTTAGCACGTTACGCGCCTTTGTTAAGATCGCTTCTACTGTAGGGTTAGGTGTTGTGAGAAAACAAATTGAATTCTTTGATATTAATTGGTATATAGTAGAATACACCGAGGTGTTATGCAATGTATTAGTATTTCTTTTATTTTTTTATTTTGTTGAAATTAACAAACATAAATAGCACAAGGACAAACATCTAGACCAGGAACAATTATTTGTAGGCCATACAAATACTTGTTCCGTGCGGGATTCGAACCCGCGGCCCCAGCATTGAAACTCATTGCTAAGCCACTGCGCCACGGAGCCATCAATTTGCTGATAATAAAAACTATTGTTCAATGTGAGGAAGGTTAATATGCAACATCCAGGAAAATTAAGATTATAACAACGTGAACGTCTTTGAAACTCCTAACTGAAACTGATAATTTACGTACTACCCATTTTTAACCAACTCGTACCTCGACTCAATTCGACTGTATTTTTTTATGTTACCTCAGAATTTTTTTCTAGGTGAATCGATTTTGATGATTCTATTTTTATCTGAAAGATGGTGCTTATAATTTATACATCCCATATAAATTTAATTAAGATCCGACGATTGTACAAAATTTTTAATTTCATTAGTTGTCTCTTTTCCTTTCTTTTTAAAAAACGATACCTCCACGCTAAGATTTTCTCCTGTATCGCAGGGACAGTTTACATACATAGAACAAACCCAGAACAATTATTCGAACCCGCGGCCCTTAGCGCTGCAACTCATTACCAAGCCACTGCGCCACGGAGCCGTCACTGGTCTGTTTCACATTTTTTGCTGTTTACAAACATGTGACACGCGACTTCATTATTATTGAAAGAGTGGCAATGAGAAGTATTGCTACTTTCAATCTCTTTCTTTTATCGACTAAGTGTTAAATTTCAATTTCCAGTATATGCTGATCTTGCATTAGTAGGCAGTCACTAGTATTAGGAGGTCAACTTACACTGAACCTTTTTTTAAGGTGATTGGCATTATCTGCGAAAAAATCGAAAACCTCGAAGCTGTGGTCGGGCTAATCAAATAATAAATCTGTAACTATGGCGTCAGTAACTAAGTACCTAATTATCTAGATCTATCTATAAATAATAATATATTACCTTTCGGTATCGTTAGGAACAGTAAAGAATGAAAAGTCGACATTCTTATTGTGATTTAAGCACCCGTATGCTATGCAGTACCTTTTGGATTTTGAGATGTCATACTTGAATAAAAACTCAAAAACAAATATCAAAAGCTCGAGCCGTGACAACCTCACGGAATTAGCCCCGCATACAGGGCCGCGCAGCGTAGATATATATTCATGCCTAAAGCGCGGAGTGAGACAGGCCTGGTATTATTTTGAAATATTGCGAAAGATTGTATGATGCCCTAAGTAAAAGTGAATTGTAATAACCATGTGATTGCTTTCCATTACGATTTTTAATTGAATTATATGTAAGGTTGATCGATACTTCATTATATCATTAAATTCAAAAAAGACAATTAAAAAAAAAACAATAATAAATGTCGTAAATATTTATTGCTTGCACATCTGTAACAAGGTGGTTAAATAAAGAGAACCAACTGTAATGTGATCAAAATAATGTAAGCAAGGAAACGGTCTCACGGGTGTGTAAAATTAAACAGGCTCCCACAGACGTGTATAATTCGCCTTACTCAGTATTCCCCGCTCCGCGTGTGAATTGTATGTGTGAACATTATGTTTTCCCTTTTCTCTGACAATATACCTTAGACTGTCTTACATGAAACATGTCTAACCCACATTATTAGACAACGTATAATTTTAATCTGTTTTTTATATTCTGTTCAACCCCCTTTCCAATATTTTAAGCGGAATACCTGAGATACTGCTATATAAGTAAAATATAGCAAAATTAGGTAGTTACCTACCAGCACAAGCCTTTGTTTCCATCACGACGAATCAGGTGAAGCTGCAGGACGCAACTAGTTTTGTAAAGTAGTAATTAGCTTGTATCTTTGTATAGAAAAAGAAATTATTACGAGGAATACAATTAAAATATAATGTTATGATATTATTATTTAAGGAAATGTTTTTCTAACAACCCTTACATATTTTTAGCGACTAAATGTCGAGACAGACTTGTAGGCGATGCGCAAACGTAGACACTTTTGTGTTTTGTATGGGAATACAAGCTACCAGTGAATATTTTATTTTCATATAATCAATATGATCTTTTTGTGTCCAGTTGTTTCCACCGATCGCTAATCAAAAAGTATTCGGTGTCGGTAACTGGAAACTTAAACTCGTCAGCTGAAGACACAAGCAACACAAAGCGAATTTCCTTACAATTGTACGGCGCTGACATTGACATGGTTGATTTGTCTGTAAATATTGACGGCGACGACGTCCACGTCGACGTGCAATCAACACAACATGCAAAGGTAATGTTTCTTCATCGACATTCATCGTGAAACTGATGGAAAACAAGCAACGAATTGTTACCAGTGTTTAGAAGTAGCAACCGGCGACTGTGTCCGATTGCCGCTACCGGACACAGCAACTACGGTTTCCTGTGATGGTGTGCCGTGTCGGTAACAGCGTCCACGTTTGCGCAGCGCCGTAGGTGTTTTGCGGTATAACAAAGGAGCTGAGCCTAATATTAGTATATGACACATATGATACTAGGATTGCCCTACAAGGAGGATATTTGCAATAGTTGCCACACTTGGTATGTGGGTTGGCAACCGCGGTTTTTTTATTTTCTAGTTGTTATGAGGAAGATATGTAGGTGGATCAGGACCGTGCTTTTTGGTATTTTTTGGGAGAGGCCTATGTTCAGCAGTGGACTTGTGAAGGGCTGATGATGATGTTAAGGAAGATGCTGCTACTTATATCCTGGTTTGTTCCCTCGTCGCCCCATACGACACCCACGGAACTATATGGGGTAGTGGATATTCTTACACCAACACTAAGCGTCGCCGTTATGCTATAATAAATGGAATACTAGTTAGAAAAGGAGACCTAGTCGTTATTTATTGAAATATTATATTAC